GCAGCAACCACTGAAGGATCAGGTGTACAGAAAAAACAGGTTGTTACCTTTTCACAAGAGCCATTTTCTAAACCTGGAGAATTTAAAATAAAAATCTCAGATGTCCTTACTGGAAACAACAAGGAATTCAGTTCAGGTATAGCATCAAAGCATGTGGCAGAAGGGCAGAAAATCATAACATTAGATACAGCAACTGAAATAGAGGGGCTATCCACAGGCTGTAAGGTTTATGCAAATATCGGTGAGGATACATACGACGTAGTCATTCCTGTAAAGGGTGATTCGGAGGAAGGCGAAGCCAAGGTTGATGAAACTCCTAAAACATCTGGTGGCGATTCTCCAAACAGAAAACGCATGAAAGTAAAGCACGATGACCATTACGAGCTCATAGTGGATGGAAGAGTCTACTACATTTGTATTGTGTGTAAGAGATCATATGCATGTCTGACGAGTTTACGGAGACATTTTAACGTTCATTCCTGGGAGAAGAAGTATCCGTGTCGATATTGCGACAAAGTTTTTCCTCTTGCAGAATACCGTACAAAGCATGAAATTCACCACACCGGTGAGCGAAGGTACCAGTGCTTGACATGTGGCAAATCTTTCATCAACTACCAAATTACAGCCTCCCACATAAGATCAGTTCATAGCCAAGACCCTTCTGGAGATACCAAGCTTTATCGATTGCATCCTTGCAGGTCTTTGCAGATCAGACAGTATGCGTACATTACTGATCACTCAAGCAGTATACCAGTAATAAACGAGGGTGGAATTGTTTATCGTGTTGGCACAGGGAAGGATGGCGCTGAAGGAACAACATCTAACCCTCCAGCCAAACAAATTACCTGGGATGACATTTTCATTCCACAGGGAAATGAAGCAATTTTTAAACAAAATCCATCAGAGGGAAGTACTGAATTTGAGTTTGTAATACCGGAATCTTACTGAAACGCATTAAATGCTGGAAGAAGGATTCAGTGCAGAAATACTGCAGCTGTTTTAAATGAGCTGTTAAAATCACTGTAAATCAAATGTTAAAGTGAAAACAAGTTAACTTGTTCTACCAAGTCATCAAATGGTAGCACTTGGATGGATCATTAGTAGCTGCAAGTGATTTGTGGAAGCAATTAATCTGAAAGTTTACTTGAATAGAGAATAAGTTATTTCCAAGGAGCTGGCAGTGTTTTCTGGTATGTTAATTTTGATCGAAATGTGGGGATTTGTAGCTTGAAAAGGTACAATTTCTCCTAAAGAGCTAGAAATCTTTCCTCTAAAGCAATTGAGGTATTTCCTGTACCCATGCTTACTCTGTAAACTCTTTATTTCATGTTAGCACTTTAATGCTGAATTGTGTTTAGACGTTAATCAAGAAAACAGTAAGATTTTTTTCATCGTAGTCTCTTGAATATGGAACTATTTTTAAAAAAAATCCCACAACTCTTATTTATTTGTGAACAATGCATTACTGCAAGGGTGCAAAATAACTGATCCAGTACTTCAAAGTAGTGTATTTTTGAACTAGCATCTTAGTTCTGCTTTTATAAGCACTGTGAATCATCTGTCTTCATGCAAATAGTCTTGCCAACAAGAGATACTCAGTTAGGGCTAACTTGAACAAACTTTATTTATACTTGGCAGTATGGTGAGCAGAGTATTCAGTGTCTGGACCAGTATATTTTACTCTTTCTGCAACAGGGGGGGAAAAAAACCCCAAAACCACAAAGCTCAGTAGTGAAGAAGCTTAGAATACTGAGGAAGGAGATAATTTTGCCTTTTCCAAGCTTGAGGAATGTTAGGCTTTCTTACTCCTGGAAAAGATGCCAGTAGTTAGTTTGGAATAAAGTGCTGTTCCTTTTTTTGCTCTTCAAGAAGAAGGGTTTCAGTCTCGTATCTTAAAAAAAGTAGTACTTATGATAAAAGTAATACTTTTTTTTTTTTTTTAGCTGAAGGCTTTGAAATTTACTTCTCAAAACTACGAAATAATCTAAGTGCTGTATCGGTTTAGCACTGAGACTGCTGAGGATCTTGTATGCCTATTTGGCTAGACCTTTAAGTGAAACAGGGATTTGGATTTCCCCTCTCCCCTTTATAGGGTGTGGAAGCACGAGCACTAAACCAACACTCAAAAAATACCCTCCATCCACCATAATCCAAAGTATCGTTTCTCTGCAGTTGTCTAGTTGTCATCTGTTTTCAGTTTTGCATTTATTATATTGTCCTTTTTTTCTCCTTACAATTGGTACATGTTTCGGCACTTAGAAGATAAATTAGATGTCCAGCTTGAACAGGAAACAGTAGATCTGAGAAAAACAAAGAGCTGTTTACCGGAGTCATAGTTTAGCATTTCAGATGTAGTCACTTGTTGAATTTTTGTGAATGGTAATATGAAAACTGCTCAAGTTCTAGAGATGACTGAGAAAGATTGTCGTGCATAGTACTACTTAGTTACCGTAACCTTTCATTGCTTGAATTACAGTTCAAGGTTTTTCTTTTCTCTTTCATGTTTTAAGTAAACATCTTGATCCTAAGACCTTCAGGGTAAGGTTTTTAGACATACAGTACTCTAGACAGAAAGACATTTCAGTGCTAAATTGTTCAAATACAACTTGAGCTATAAAAAAGAAATCTGTATGAGTAGCGATGGGAGAGAGAGGAGGATTTGTTTACCTTATGCATGTAATGCTCAGCACTTCTGTTTTGTAGGCCAAGCACATGATACACATGGCTATTTTCAGATCAGATTGCCGACCCCTTTGAATATAATGGGGTATGCTTTCCAGTGTTACCGGTTGGATGTTAGAATCTGAGATGGCGTTTCAGCAGTCAAACATCGTTCTCACGAGACATAAGTGTTGACTGCCTGTATTAGCACAGGTGGCTCTGACGTAGCTGGCTGCGTGCTATATTGAGACTTCCCTAACTTTTTGACAAGAAGAATACAATGTTATTTTTGTTATTGACATGACACATCTGGAATTAAGCATACATTGCAAAGTGTACATTCAGTAATGATTAAACGTAATGGCTATCGATATTTGCTGCTGATATATTTAAAACCTTAAATTAAACTGTGCCTACTAAAGGTCTCTTTTTGGAGGAAAACTGGAAAATTAGGGCTTTGTAACTATTTTTGCTAGGAGACTCTTGCTTGCATGTGTCTCAGGGTCTTCAGTTTTCCTTGGAAGTGATTTTTGATATCCAAAGTCTAGAGGTCATGTAAAGCATTTTTTTAATTTCACTTCCAGTATTTATTGGTTTGGAAACATGTTTAAATCCATTCTTTTAAAACTTTTTATGGGGCCATGAGGTTTTATATTTAGATTTCTGGCTATTGCACTTATATTTGGGTTTTTGTTTGTTTTTGTAAACAACTTAGCTTCCAGTTTAACTTAATGAAACACCTTATGTAAATATTAAAAAAATTGGCTTTGGGGTAATGGAAGAAAAAGATTGAATCTGAAAAAGCATTTATATAAAAATTTCAACAGAGTATGGTGGCAAACCTCACAGTCATTTATATGCATATAAAAGCATTAACGGATCTGCGGCAAAATACGGCAATGGTGGCTGCATCCTCACTGTATGGTTTCTCTGGGGATTCATACCATAGCATTCCAGTATGTGAATTAAACAAATATTGAAATGACAATTGACTGCTTATTTATTTTGTACTGTTAAGGCATGCAGCTTATAGTCGTCAGCTTCTGCATCTTTTTATATACATTGAACGCTGGGTTCTGCAGCTATTGCCTAGGAACTGTTCCATGTGAAACATGTAACACTTTTGCCAGATCTGTAATGTATATAGCTGTACAGTCTTTCCTTAACATACTTTTTAAAGTTGTGTTCTACTTTTCATTAATCAATACTTGATATTAGTTCTTAGAGCTTTCTACGGCAAAAAAATAAAAAAGTTTAATTCTAAAGAAGATGTAGCATGTTTCTTTTTAATGACAACTCGGCTTCTGCAGTCTAACATGTTAGATTACCAACCGTTTGTGGCTTCCTTTTCCAGGTCGTTGGGAATAGCAGGGAACCCCCTGCGGGGGGGGGGAGGCGTTTTTATTTGGGGCTTAGATTTTTTGGTGGTGTTTCTTTGGAGGTTTTTTTTGTTGGGGTGTTTTGTGGGTTTTGGTTTGGGTTTTTTCTCTTTTTTTGGTTGAGCACTTTCCAAGAAAGCGAATTAGCTGAAAAACTCGTACTGTGTATTGTGAGCTGAATGTGTGGTATACGCTTACTCAGAATAGGCGGAGCTGCTGTGGAACAGTCTGTCCAACTACTGTGGTCACTGCAGATGCGCTAGAAATGAAGAAAAACATACATAGTGACCAGTGCAATGCATTTCAGCTAACTCGTGGTTAGGGCTCCTCTTCTTACCAGGTTGCGGACTAGTTATGATTTGGAAGAGTTAGATTGTTGGTGAACCATGGCTAACGTGGAGAAAAGCAGTTACTTCATGTAGACTTATTACAGGTAAGGAATGCAATTTAATAAGTAACGTTATCAAACGATGTTTTAGATGCCTTTATCTCCTTGGCGTAGGGCTTCCACCTACTTCTGCTAACATCAATGAGCAGCTGATATCATCAGGATAGAATTAGGCCCAAAGTAATACAGTAAACATGAAAGTAAGTAAAGGAGACACTGACACTGCACTAGCTGGATTATTTGCCTCTGTGTTAAGCAAAAAATCAGCAGTAATGACTTTACAGTGACTGAAGTCAGGGCATCCTGTTACGTGGGTAGAACTGCAGAATTATGAAGTGTGGGGGTATCTGGGGCTTTTAAAAACAGAACTTAAAAAATGAAAAAAAGGTGTCTCTGGCTAATCCTGGTAGAAACACCCATTTCCAATGTAGCAAATACAATCTTTTGGGCGTTTTCTTTGGTTTTGGTTTTTTTTTTTTTTTTAAATGCACAGTGCCATGATACTGGAATTCCTCAACTAACATTAAAGATGTTTGTAAAACAGGAAAGTTGCTAAAATGTAAAATGCAATTTATAAATGTTTACAAAAGTCACACAATTTTATTTAACTTTGGTAAAGTAATAAAAGGGTACATATGAGTCACAATCTTGACATTCTTGTAAGAAGTGATGAATACAGTGCAGAATGTTGCATTTACATTAAACGCTTAGTTTTACTCAAGCAGAAGGAAACAGGTAATTCAACAGAAAATCCCACCAGTAATTTTTTGAATGTGAAAATGGACTTGTCCTTTTATAGTGAATTTAAAGCAGCAATGTAATTTTTGCTTAAATATTCCTTAAAAAAAAAAAGAGAATTTGGATAATTTCCAAATTACTATTTCCAATTTCAAAATTTCCAAGTTTAGTATTTGTCAACTCAAAACCAATGACACAATCATTTCCTAACTGTTTCTCTGCCACTAAGTTATGTTCCCCTCATGAATTTCTTAGTCCTGTCCTGTAGTGTCCCCTAGTCCTTCTAGCCCTATTTAGTTGACAGGCACAAATGGTAGAGTATGTTTGTCAGAAGTGGGACAGGACTGTTTGCTTTTATTTCAAAGATGGAGCAATAAAATGTTTTCTGATACTAAATTAATGTGCCCTTCTGATTCTAGTTTTGTGGGGAGTTTTATCAGGAGAAGTACTGCCTATTTTGAAATTGCCCATGATCTCTTTATCAAGATTTACTTCAGGAAAATGTAATATAAAATGGATGAAGCCCTAGTATACAAATTTATTTCCAGTATGCAAATTTATAGGAGCTGCACTTCAACAATCTATCGTAAAACAAAATGTCACCAGGACATGTTCTGCATACACTACTGCTTTAAATCCCATGAATTGTATTCCCTTTTCCAGTGGTTTCTTTGTTCCTGGAGAAAAGTTACGTTTGCTTCTGGATAAAGTGTCATCCTTTAGCTTATTAATATACTGATTAGTATTTGACAGTGGAAATGACAAGGTTAACACTTAGCCTAGCCTAAAGGCTTTGCAAATGCATAGGATCAAAACTAGCATTATAAAGTGTGGGTGTACTTTGAAAAGTGAGATCAGAGACTTCAGTGTTGTTTTCCATTTTGCTAGTATTTCATTTTTTTTAGATTGAAAGTGGAGAGATGCCACAGTTTAAAATCCAACTGGATTTCCCGCGTGCCGCCCCCCCCCAGCATGTATTCCATTTTTAAATTCTGAAAACTGGATTTAGCTTTTAGGTTCCTTTTTGTCTGCATCAGTTGAAAGTAAAGGTAGACCACTGAAGATTAGTGTCAACAATCTGATGCCAAGGAAATTAAACCTTTAGGAGATAAGGAGTAAAATGTCAATACCTTATCTTTATCCCTGAAGTAAGCGGTTGAGAACGCTCAGGTCGAGCGGCTCAGATCTGAACGCTGTCATCTGAAATCACTTCCTGGAGTAGAACCACACTTTACAGGACACTGTGTCACATAATAAAGCTGACCACCTTTTGTTATGCAGGATGCATGCAAAATCTGTTGGAATCTAGATCAATCAGCACAGTCATCAGCTGAAGATTAAATGAAAGTCACAACAATAATTGCAAATTCCTATCAGTTTCATCCTATATTACAGGGTGTTGAATTTTATCCATGTGAGACTTACATCTTGGAGAACTAGTAGTGGATATTCCTTATGTGCAGCCCATAACACAGCTACTAAAACAGTGCTTATTCAGGGTGCTGATTCAGTCCATTAAAAAAGTTAAAAGTACAAGCTTAAAAAAAAATTCCCAACCAAACAGAAGGGAAAAAAAAACCCAATAATGTTTTCACTGCACTGTTTCAGTGACTTGTGGACAGTTCCTGATGCTCTTTATAGGAATGCAACGAAGATTTAGGCAGTGCAACCACCCAACTGTTTGACTTCAGCATTACTTAGACAGAATTCAGAGAGAGACAGCTGCATTTCACCTTCTATCTTAAGCTTCCTGAAATAAAAACAGCTTGCCCATTAAAGCTTTTCCCCTCAAAAAAGCAATATTCCAATTGTTTTGCTAGATATACAATGAAAATACCCTATGACGTTACCTCTTTTCATCAGCGTAAGAGACACTGTTGCGGTTCCCCCCAGGATTTTTCCAGTGCATAGGCTGTAACCAGCAAGTGATATGAGCTAGGTTCTGTGGCCCCCAAAAATCCCAGCAACTGGAGCCCCAAGGCCAAACAAAACAAGCATCAAGTCGAGCTGTCTGCATGCATCCTCACCTTAAACAGATTGATACTCGCTGGCAACTATTGATCTTGGCTACCCTTACTTCAGCTTGGCACAAGATGGAGTAAGGCAGACCCGAATCTATCATCTGTGTTGTATTGCTTTATTAAAAACCAAGGACTACATGAACCTCACGGTAAAACAAGGAGGCTGGAATTTAGGCCACCCACTACTCACTGACACTGCAAAACATCAGCAGTATGTCCCCTTCCTCATTCTCTGTTGTTAAACCTCTGAAATAAGTCTCGCAAGAAAGAACAATCCAATCTAATATTTGTATTTGCAATTACCTTCTGTATCTACCCTCTTGCTCCCTCCCACAGTAAAATATAAATACAAAATGTTCACAATTATTTCAATGGCAAGTATTTTTTTTCTTCCTTCCCACATTCTTTATGGTGTATAAGGTGGTGGCTTTTCAAAAGGTGGAAAATACGGTGGCGAGTAACGAGGCGGCGCATTAGAGGACCACATATAGCTGGGAGATGGTGACACTGACTGGGGGTCATCAGAGAGGCCAGAAGGAGTGGAGGCTGGAAACATGCTGGAATGCTGCAGGGAGACAGCAAGAAGGCTGTAATGTAAACACTTCTTAATGTAAAGGACCCTGGCAAAGCAATACTTCATTACCAAGCAGTACAAAATTAGCATTTCAAGGCTCACTTCTGCAAAACATATGTACATACAAATAAGTATTCAAACTTGTTGCATTCAAGGTAAGCACAGGCTGTAAGTAACAGTTTTGCATAATGAGACTCCTTAAACATAAAACTGAAGAAAGCATTTTAAAAAAAAAAAATTCTCTCTCATCACTTCTCTGTACCTGCTGCATTTCACAGAGGCTGGACAACTGAAAACTGACGAGTCTCTCTCAAATCTTGGGTTTCACGCATCAGCCAGTAGCAACAATGAACAGGCTGCAGATTAATGTCTTTTTACATTACTTTTTCTCGGCATCACAAATAAAAAACCCCCAGAAATTAATGATAACAGAATAATTTATTCCTTCAGTAAGTAAAAAGCTTGAAAAGGTGGAGAAACAAAATCTGTGCATGCCTGAAGATTCATTTCGGCTCTCCAAAATACCTTTGTTATCAAAAATACCTTAGGTCTAAAGCCTGAAGTCATACAGCGCTGGCGCTGTCAGAGACCTGCGCACAGGCTATGTTCTGTCCAGAAACAGGCCAGACAAATAGGCAACGAAATACAGTCACTTGCATTCACTCCTCCGGCCACTAATACACCGTGGTTTT